GCGCTATTGAGTTCTATAAGGCTAGATGCAATGCGGCTTGTGTCATACTACACCCTCTGTGGAGTTGAGAGTTCATCTATTCGATCTTCATTCTTCAATCCCAGCTTGGGCGGGAAATCTACGCGTCATAGGTATAATAATGACCTGGACGATAGACTGGTATGATTTCGTAACGTAAGCATGACTAGTTTTTTATCTACTTCCACAAGAGTAGACTCAAACTATCAAGTGCCCCCGCCGGGTCGTGCCGACAAGCTCTGACCTCACCACATCCGCTCGTAACAACAATGAGTAGAAAATCCCATCAAATGACTTCAAATCATCCCAGCAGAGAATTATCGACCAGAGATCCCAGCTCCGGCCGCGTCCCAGGAAATTCGAAACGGGACAGTCAACCAAACGAGATCTAAACCCGGTCCAAGTTTTGCTTTCACCGCTACTCAAAACGGTCACAGACTATCAACCTCACTCGATTGAGCTCATTTTGTAATCGATGGCGAGCCAAATATTGGTCTTGACCTCCATCAGTACGGTACATACGAACCTGTCCCCCGGGCATAGGCGTCAGTAAACAGCTCTATAGAATTCAAATCCCATCGACCGGAAACAGTCGTGCCTAGATCACGATAGGCCACTCGGGTGTATCTGGAAAGAGACGGTCGAACTAGATGGGACTTGATTCTATATATTGCCAACTTTACCTCACTCCATCGTACTTTCCCCCATTTTATCTCCCTACTCCCTCCTCGCAACTCTCTCCCGTCTGTCAACGAGAGATCCTGTGGCCCTCAGATCATTCCATGAGGTGCGTTCAATGCCGACCCCTTGTACAATGGTCTCTGATACCTTAAATTCTATAGTGTGTTGTATTTTCAAGGTCACAAACTATCTACTCTCTTGATCGCGCACGTACTGACATTTTCCTTCCAGATATAACTGTAGAATCATCCCCAAAGGACGATTGCTTTCTGAAGGATGTTAACCATCTCCAATTGGAACTCAGCTTAGATGGGAAATCAATAGACACCGTCAACCTGTTGTCTCATACAGTGAACCCTGGAGCATGGGAAGCCGATCAGCCTCTCCTCTTGTAAGTGGTTCAGCCCAGATGAAGTCTCACTGAGAATTGATTCACCACCTAGGCCAGATACGAGTAAAGATTTCATGGTATCCATTTTCATGGAGTCTGCAGGGAATGAACGCCAATTCCTTGGATCCATGGAATTGAATGGATCAGATCTGTATGACACGGTGGGGAATCTATCTGGTGAGACTAACTCTGTTGCGGGATATCACCATGATTCTGACAAGCTTTCATGATAGAGATACCACTATTGTGCCCTGAGGACTACCCAAGTCTAATACTCAAAGCGAGGACATCGGTAATCGAAAATCTCTACGAATTCATGTCGCAAACTAAACGAAAATCTACACGAAACTCGATGCAAAAAAGTGGAGAAAATACAATCGAACTGATAGTCGAAGCAGCAGCCCATGTTGCCCAGGAATTCCCGCACCATGGCAACCTACAAGCCCTGGAACAAGCAATTTCCCAACTCCAAACTGCCATGGAAGTAACTCCCGAAGGCGATCCACTACTTCCTCTCATCTTAAACGCTTTAAGCATGGGTTTTCATGAACGCTTTATCCGTCTGGGTAACCTCCACGACATTGATGATGCGGTTGCGCGAATTCAAGAGGCTGTTAATCTCATACCGGAGGACGATCCTCAGAAGACTCGTTACCTCATAGAACTAGGGAACTGTCTCATGACTCGCTTCGAACATCTCGGCAATCTTGCTGATATCGACGAATCAATCAGACACAAGCAAGCGGCAGTAGACAGGACGCCAGATAATCATCTTCATAAGCCAGTTTGTATGAACAACCTCGGAAACTCCTTTCATAACCGCTACAAGAGATTCGGCAACGTTGTCGACCTTGAAAATGGGGTCAGATGGAAACAAGCGGCGGTCAACCTTGTATCAGACAATGACCCCAAGAAGCCTTACTATTTGAATAATCTCGGAAATTCTCTCCTGGCTCGTTTCGACAGATTCCATAACCTTGTCGATCTCCAGGATGCAATCCGACGACACCAGACAGCAGTTGATCTAGCACCCAATGGTGGACCTTTCAAGCCGACTACTGTAGCCTCCTTAGGAAGCTCCCTTCAAGCACGCTTCGAACATCTGGGAAATGTTGCCGACATCGATAATGCAATCCTTCACCATCAGGCCGCGGTGGATCTTACGCCAGATGACCATCCCAAGAAATCGGATCGACTGAATGACCTTGGACGGTCTCTGCTGATCCGATGTAACCATCTCGAAAACATATCCGACATAGACAATGCCATCTCTCAGTTCCAGCTATCAATAAACCTTACTCCAGATGGGCACCCTCAAAAGCCCAGTCGCTGGGCTCGACTCGGGGATGCCTTTGCGGCACGATTTAAGCGGTTTCAGAAAAAAATTGACATAGATAACTCCATCGAATATACACAGCTTGCGGTCGACATTATGCCAGACAACGACTCCGAAAAGCCCATTCTCTTGAATAACCTCGGAAACTCCTACTACGCCCGCCATGAAACTTTTAAAGATCCTGCAGACATTGATCAATCAATTGTACGGGAACAAGAAGCACTTCGCATTGTACAAGAGGATCACCCTGAGAAAGCAAGTTGCCTAAACAGTCTGGGAAACTCTTTCTTGGCTCGCTATATCCAATCCGATAACCTTCCAGACCTGGATAACGCAATTACGTACCACCAAGCATCAGTCGATTTTGTATCAGGCGACCACCCATCTAAGTCCTTGTACTTGTGCAACCTTGGGCGTTCTCTCGGAGTACGGTTTTTCAAGTTTCAAGACTCGGCTGATATGGATAAAGCCATAGAAGTTCAACTAAAGGCTATCGAACTCCTCCCAGATAATTATACATTCAAGTCTCTTCAGTATTTTAACCTCGCAACCAATTTCATGACCCGACTCCAGGTCAATCCCCAGCTTGGAGATGCAGAAGCAGCTATCACTTATCTGTCTGCTTCTGCACTCTCGACGGCAGGATCCCCATCCGTTCGGTTCCGATCTGTCCGCGGATGGATCTTCTTTGCAGCCAACCTTCGACACGAATCTCTTCTGGCCGCATACGAATGCGCACTCACTATTGTACCGCTTATAGCTTGGTTAGGTCTTCCAATACAAGACCGACATCAACACCTTGTCGAAATAGGCGAACTCGTTCGAGACGCTGCAGCCGCAGCCATTTCACTAGAACAATACGACAAGGCTCTAGAGTGGCTGGAGCAAGGCAGATCCATAGTATGGACGCAGATCCTCCACCTAAGGACTCCTGTCGATGACCTTCGTGATGCCAATCCGGACCTTGCCGAACGTCTTTTGCAAGTCTCGCGACTACTCGACCGTGGAAATCGACAAAATAGCCTAGTAGATACAGATCCACGATCTATGGAGGAAGAAGAGCGACGATATCAATTGTTGACGACTGAATGGGAGTCGATTATTGCCCAAGTTCGGGCACTTCCTAATTTCGAAAACTTCTTGAAGCCCCATACCGCGCCGCAATTGATGAAGGCCGCTCGAAATGGACCCGTAGTCGTCTTGAACGTAGCAAAAGAAAGGTGCGATGCCCTTGCTATCCTCCCCGAACTTGACGAGGTCGTTCATATCCCACTCCCAGATATCACATCCGAGAGTATAACACAGCTTAGGAACGATCTCAAGCGTCAACTACTCTCGAGTGGAATTCGAATGAGAGGCGAGAGAGCCATAAAGAGAGTGGGACGTGCAAGGAATAACAAAGATTGTAAAGAAATCCTTGCCGAACTTTGGAACAAGATAGTCAAGCCAGTTTTGAACTCTTTGGCATTCTCTGTAACCCTCATCCAAAATCACCTATGTCGTTTACTGATACTATATCATTTCAGCCTCATCCAGACTCCCTTTCACGAATCTGGTGGTGTGTCACAGGTCCACTCGCCTTCCTTCCTATCCATGCCGCTGGAATATACGATACCGACTCGGTCGATAGTCAGCTTAGCGACTATGCTATATCATCTTACACCCCTACGCTATCCGCTTTACTCGAACCCGGTAACACAACCCCAACCTCACCTTTCAAACTTTTATCAGTGATACAACCATCTGCTCCTGGTATGACACATATTCCCAATACCAAAGAAGAACTCGGCTATATTCAGTATCACCTCACGGGCCGCAGCCACGTCATCCTTGAAGGTCCTCAAGGTACCAAGGAACGAGTCACTAAATCAATGGAAGACTGTAATTGGCTTCACCTTGCGTGTCATGGCACCCAAATACCAGAAGAGCCGACCAAGAGTGCACTTATCCTCGAGGATGGTCACTTGACTTTAGAAGAGATCATCAAACTCGATCTTCCACAAGCTGAATTCGCATTCTTGTCGGCTTGTCAAACGACTACCGGCGATGAAAAGCTTTCGGAAGAAGCGGTGCACATTGCAGGGGGGATGTTGTTAGCAGGGTATCGAGGAGTAGTAGCGACAATGTGGTCTATTCAGGATGACCTGGCACCGGAGGTGACAGACTCGTTCTATGCGCATATTATGCAGGGTGATGAACGGCCAGATAATACCAAGGCAGCGGAGGCTCTTCACTTCTCAATACAAAAGCTCCGAAAGAAACCAAACATTCCGCTTACAGCATGGATTCCTTTTGTGCATCTGGGGGTATAATCAACTTTCCGCATTCCAGATCTACAGCACTGTACATTACCTTCTGCAGTTTGTGACTTGTACGTAGACTACTCGATAGGCTGACTATAAATTCCCAGACAATCACAGTGTTCGCGAGCCACATTAAATATGCTATATATTCAACGGACAATCGATTTGGAAACGATGCCCAAACATAGCTACATTAGTAGGGAAATAAAAGGCCCCTAACACATCACGGTATAGTTCTAAACTCATTCTAAGCTACAAAAGCGAAATAATAGCTACAAGTTGGTTCATTGGCTGTACATTTATACATCTTTATGAAACTCCGGAGCGGGGTTGGTCCCCTCGTCCAATTTGTTGAATGTGCCCAGACCAAACGGTATGGAGAGATTCGAACCCATCTTGGCCATATCAAAGAAAAGGGAAGAGCATCGACTCCTATTTGAATTTAGGCGTTTGAGGTGTTCAGGAGAAGAGTACCCGAGATACTCGTAACTCGCTCGTGAGAGTCGTCAATCGTTGGAAGTGGACTTTCAAATGTTCCAGGAATTTCGGGAGCCTTTGTAGATATTGAACGCCACTAATTAGTTGTAAAGGTAAGGTTTCTACCTCAGAGATGTCCAACGTGGTCAGCTCGAAACTCCCCCATACTAGATCCTGTACGCACGGCAAATGGGACCCATGACTGAGATCTCCTTTGAGAACGGTGATATCTTTCTCGATAGTCCCTGATATAAAACTCCAGTTCTTTTTGGGTTTCTGGTAAGAACGGAAGAGCGTGATCTTTCAATATGGGAATAGCTTCTTCCAGAGCGTCCAGAATCATCTGGCCATATATAGCCCTTCCGGGTGATGGCATCAAAACATTCTTGGACCTGGCCTTCCGTCATGATCGTTTCTATTGGCTCACTCCCATAGACGTAATACATCCCCGCAGTTCCCAAAGCATGGTCTATCCCATCTATAACAATGAACATGTATTCATTGAAGGAGAAAAGGATATTGCGTAATCTACTCGCGCACTTCTCCCTTTGTAAATCTGCGAACATTGTGTTGATGGACATAATGGATGACTTCTTGCCGTTCAGCTCTGGAGTGAACTGGTTAAAGAAAGCGTTGATGAAGCCTCTGGTATCTTTGATAGGTCTTCGGTCACGTACAACTCAAGTTCTTTATTGACCCTATTGCCTTGTATGTTCATCCTAGTAGAACTGTTGGCCCCTGTTGCACTCTACATACCACCTGACCAATGGAAAGTATTGGGTGTATTCCCCTTGGTGTCGGATGGACTGGATATGAGTCAATGGGACAAACAGACCACGCAAGGACCAGTATATTCGAAAAAAAAATGTATATGTCTTATCTGCGATAGAACCCCAACTTGTTAGTCTTACATTGGATATAAGCGACACTCCCGTAATTCACCCAGAAGCTTGACCTGATGTTTTGCTGGTTCTAAATTCTCCATGTTGGCATCCGCCCCCAAATCCATATGCATGTCATCGCGTGGAATAAGCTCAAGAGTGGCACTTTTATCATCAACGCTGGCGATTCTTCCTGCGTAAATCATAAGTTCTGGAGTAAATTTGACGGGGTGTAGCGCCAGTTCCTGTTCATATATTGGTCAGATACTCCAAATAGTTCGAAAGGCGTACCCTCCATAGCAGCACATTGCCCGGTGCAATATCTTTGATACCTGAAACAACGCCATATTCATCCCATTTCCTCTCCATTTCTCCCCAGTTGAAGCTAGGATGACGATGATGATCACCTGACGTTGTTTCACGCTGAGTAGCGACAAAAGCCCCCTTGTCCTCCAGTATCTCAATTCCACCATTCAACTGTGTTGGGCGGGTTATTGTGGCGAGTGTACTGTCCGGAAGGTATTGGCTGTCCCATTCACCAGCTTCTACGTCTACACTGGTTACGAACATATTTGACGGTAAATCTGTTCGCTGGCTGGGTGGTATCAGTCGCCTGAATGAAAGGGAGGATGTGGGCCTTTGTGAGGGGTTAAGGGTTGTTGCATCGAACACAAAGTGAGAGTGAGAAATAGCTTCTGTATCTTGCTTGTACCCTTTCTTCTTATTGTCATTCTTCGTTGCTTTGAGCATGGATGACACGAGCGGATCAGCTTCTCGACTGATGAACTCTCAACTCCACAGAGGGTGTAGTATGACACAAGCCGCATTGCATCTAGCCTTATAGAACTCAATAGCGC